ATTTTCTATAGAAGGTATTCCCCACACATGACATTCATCACAAAGCGTAAACAAAATAGTACAATTCTTTTGATCAATACATTCTTCTAAGTTATTTTTAATACATTCATCGTATTGGTCACATTTTTCATATATTTCACGTCCCTTACATCCCTCATTCATAATATTAATACATTGTTGACAAATTTTTAAATATACTTCAAAAAGTACTTCCAAATTATGACATTCATCACATTTCTCATAATTACATTGTCGACAAGGTTTCAGTGTCCATTCTTCACATCCCTTACATTTCTCATACTTAATAATACACTTTTGACAAAACTGGTTATTTTCCTTGGAAGGTTTTCTCCATTCATTACAATCATTGCATTTTCCATATTTCAATATGCAAAGTTGACATATTTGTGAAATTTCTTTAGAAGGTAATCCCATTTCAATACATTCACCACATTTCGTACGTTTTTTAATACAGATCCGGCAAAATTTTGAAGTTTCCTTGGAAGGTTTTCTCCATTCATTACAATCATTGCATTTTCCATACTTCCAAATGCAAAGTTGACATATTTGTGAAATTTCTTTAGAAGGTATTTTCCAATCATGACATTCATCACATTTCATATACATTTTAATACAGATCCGGCAAAACTTTGAATTTTCCTTGGAAGGGTTTCCCCATAGGTTGCATTTCTCACATTTCTTGAACAATTGTCGATCTACTTCATAATCCATTTATTTATTTATTTATTTTTTTTTTTTTTGACATTTTTTTAGATTTCAAAGAACTATATTTATATGCTATCCTTATTGCAGTGTTATACCCGAGATACGAAGTGATCATTGGATCACTTCGGGTATTAATTGCAGTATATTACCATATAAGGTAAACAAATTTCTAAGAATTCCAATAAGAATTTCACAAAGAACCTTCTGAAAATTTGTTTATGTGGTACAAGAGGTCCGAATCGGTATTCGATTAATCAATCCATCCTGAGGTGAACAAATGAAAAATAAACTCGCGATTTATTTTTAATTAAAGTTTTTCGGGTTACTTTTGAAAATTCTCTTTGCTTTTTAACTATAATTTAAATTAAACTTACTAGTTCAATAAAAGTTTTCTTATAAATAAATACGGGAACTTTTCGAATACTTTTCATTCGAAATTTATAATTGTTCGAAAATAAAATAGCTGCGCCACAAAAAATCGAACCGAAAGAATCGAAACTTCGGGAACGATTGGCGATAATAGTCATTTTAGAAACTTGATTATTTCTATTTGTTGCTATAAGTGAAATATTAAAAAAAATTAAAAAATGACAATAAAAGATAAGTTAAATATATCAAATTATAAAAATCAAGTAATTTCTATGTGGGTATCTTACTGATGAAAAACGTGAAAATAATAATGTCAACGTCATTCCAATATGATTATAACGCAAATGCTTTAACACTTGATCCAAACAAATAGTTCGAAAATTTATTACACGTATGATGATTTATTATTAAACAAAGAAAAATCAACCTCTAAAATTATTAAATTATCTATAATACAAAATGTTGTGTAACATGAGTAGAAATTCAAGCTATGCTTCAAGCAAAGGAAGTCAGTAATAAATTAAACCAATTGTTCAATTATGATGATAACCATAATGTCTAGTGAATAAATTTTTCAAATTGTTATATTTAGGCCACGAACGTCAAAACAATCCAGTAGCCAATAAAAATCATTTAAAGTTTGGATCAAACAAACGGAAAAAATTTTGATGACTCAAATGTTCCGAATTAAAAGAAAGTAATCGTCAATAGACATGATTGGTTAAAATATTGAAACGAACTGATTTTTCTACTCAATTTTAGCCACTTTTTAATTGGTCAAAATTATTTCATAAAAATCGGATCGGAATAGGACTACGTGAACTGACCGAAAATGCTAATTTGTGTCTACTATGGAAGATTTCCGGAGGTATTAAAAACATAAATTTAAAAATATACTCACGAAAATATTAAAAATATCTACCGTTATTGACAAAAAAAAAACTTTGTAAAGAATAAATTGAAATTTGATAGGATGTATTTATTTAAATAAATAAAATACATTCGAACATTAGGCCCGGGCAATAAAATTTTTGTTTTTATTCTATAAATCAACTCTGAAATTATTTTATCGTTTTCGTACTTTTTACCTTTTTTTTAGGGATGTTAAAAAGTCCCAAGAAAATTACAAAGAATTATTTTTACAAATTATTATTAAACTTGTCTATTATAACTTAATGAAAATAAATAATAAACCCTCTTGGAATCCCGGAATTTCTCAAAATTTAAAATATAAGGATTTAGGACCGGTCCTATACTTATCGGTCCTACCAAAGTTTGCCAATATTGAATGCCGTATCATATTCGCTTTTTACAAATTAATTATAAAATATTTATGAAATTTTTTGATGGGTTACTTATTATAGTTAAGTGATTAAACTTTTCTATAGATATTCCGACAGATTTTTATAATAAGACTTAATATAATTTTAACGTAAAGTATGACGGGAATTTATTATGGTTTCGAGTTTCGACGGTTTTACCATTAAGATTTTATTATAGTTTTGCCAATGACCCAGTCGAAACATGAGAGTTTTCCGGTAATTATACTTGTATTAATAAAAGTTAACATGCGACATCATTTTGTTGTATACCAAAATTATATAATGTGTATATATAATAATTAATTTTAATCATTGATTGTTTTACGAATATTCTAAAATAATATTTTCATGAATTATGCTATTTTCGAATCGAAATCGATAGAATGACGTAATCATTAATAATAATACTATTATACATAGTAAAATTGTCATTTAATTTTGGCAGAGAAAAATATTTTATTTTTGTTGTTTATTAAGAAAGAAACTCTTTTCTGTACTAGTAATCGGCTTTGAGCCTTCAGTTTTGCTAATAATGTCAATGGTTATTTAATAAAACTTGTTATCATTCACTTTATGAATTGACTTCAATTTTATATTGAATCAGCTTTCTTTTTAAAGAAGATATGTAAAAAATCATATTTTACTACAAAAGTTCTAATTTTAATAACAACAATTAAATAAATAATATATATATATATTGAAGATACGCGAATTGAATTTCTAGAAATCTAATTTTCTTGTAAATTAATTAATTCATTATTGTTTTGCTTAGCTGCAGAATTACTTAATATGGTAAATAGTATTAATTTTTGTATAATAATAATTAAACTTGCTTTCTTAAAGTTCAAATCCAGAAAAAATTCATGAATATAATTTTTAAATGGTTACTGAGTTTACTATAATATTTGTCTTCAGCGAATAATACTTTCTAACTTAATTTGCACTTTTAGTAAAAGATCAATACAGTTGATTTTGATAATTGGTCGATAATCATGTATCAAATGTTCTAATAATCATATTGGAGATTTTAGAAATAATGTTATATTGCATTTCCTAAACAATTATATATTTCAAAATATACGATTTAGCTAAAGATAGGAACTATTGTTAAAATATTCTCAAATTTTAAAATCATTAACAAGTAAATTAAAAGAAATCCAAATTTAAACTTAATTTAAACCTTAAATAAAATATTTTAATATTAAATTTTTGTAGTAGATTCCAAGCAAAACGTAAGTCAAATTATAAAGATAAGTTAAATTATTTGCTTAATATTAGGTTCGAATATAAGTTGAAAACCAGATTCGTTTAATTTTTTAAATTACTTGCTGATAATAATCTAATTTAACGTCTGCATTAAACCTTATTGTATATTAAAGCAAATATCTGAAAATTTAATGTTAGATATATGTATATCGTAATCAGATGAAGTTACTTAAGGGTCAAAAATAGGATTATAATGCAAATTATAATTTAACTTTTTACATTTACATTTTGGTCAAACAATTACTTTAAATAACTTTATTTAAAGGTCAAGCAGTTGTATATAATGCATATTAGTTTAATTTAACATAATAAATGTATTCAGTGTTACATCTGGAATTGATATGTAAAGATATATAAAAAGGATATAGGTTCGTTAATTTTAGTGAAAATTTCAATTTTTGCTTTGCTTCTTCATTTGAGAGTGAACAAAGATGGACTCTGACCATGTCTTTGAATACAAACGTCCATGATTGTCTTTAAACATGAATTTTAGTGTCGTTGATGCAGGTAATAATGATTTGTTATCAAATTAAAAATTTTGAATCAAAAATAAATTTGTTATAAATAGTATTGGGCTAAATTATTAATTTTATTTACTTTTTAAAACAAAAAATAGCTTTAACCGATTATTGGCTGATTTATAAATATTTTTCATTCCACTAGGAAAAAATTTATATAATAAAAATTAAAATCAATACTTGATGGATAGCATGTATAGCAAAAAAAATATGGTTAAAAAAACAAGAAAAAATTCCATAAATTGAAACGTTACGATTTATATGAAGGTTGGTTAATTTTAATTCAGGAAAAATTAAAAGTCAAAAACCATAAAAGGAAATCCCTACAAATATGGTTTATTTAGCCCAAATTAGTTAATATCCGAGATGATATCCTAAATGGCACTTCGGATGTTCCAAACGACCATTTCAGACTCCAAATGGCCGTAAATATAAGCATTTTAAATTTTTAAAATTGCTAGTATAATAATAATAAGTCATTTTCCATTGGACATTATCCCACGAATTCCGATTTGGGATATCCTTGATCATTTCGGACATGAATGCATTTGGGTTAAAACAGAATAATCGAGGTTCCGAGAATTTATAAAAAAATTCTCAGAACCTGGTTTTTCTAGAAATCATCCCGAAATACGTGTTATCCCCGGGTCTTAGCTCTTTAAGACTTTTCCGATGAAAGTTTGGAACCTAATGATTTTTTTCTTTTTTTTTTTTTTTTGGTTAAGATTTAATTTATAAAATCTCTTTAATATGCAACTGCTATCATAAAAATTTTTAAACAATCATCGAAATTCTCAAAATGTCCTTTTCTACACAATATTATGAGACTTTAGAGTTCATCAAAAATAAATTTAATGATTATAGTAAAACTTTAGAAGAAGCAAAGCATATTATGGATGATGAAATGCCCATATCAATTCCTAATAACCATATCGTGAATGAGGTCAAACTGCATAAAAGATATAGGATCAAAAGCAAGGAATATTTAGAGGTCGGTTTAAAGATGTGGGAGGTTTGCTAAAATCACGTTACGGATCATATGAATTACTATGCTCGTAAACTCGATTTTAATAGCAAACTTCCCATGTACGAGGACGTTGTGGATGAGAAGTGGAAATATTTTGACGATGACGGATCAAAGTGAAGGATGAAAAGAAAGAGGGTGATGAAAGTAATCTTGGAAAAGTTAAGGTTACAGGAAGGGTCGCACTTCACTTATTTGGAGGAGGATATTTTGCGGGATCCAGTAAAATAGCTCGCAATCATACTTTCTCGATAGCTGAAAAGGCTGAATGTCATGTTTTTTGTAAGTATTACTCGAACTTATTTATTCCTGTATTATTTTAGATCGCAATTAATTTAAATACATCTAACTTTTTGAATTTGGTAATTAGCAATTGATTATCATCTTGTCCCAAAACATCAATTTTCTGCGCAACTTTGCAACGATTTAGCAGCGTATTTTTATCTTACAAACCCTGGTCCGGAAGCTGGATTTGAGCAAATTGATCCAAAAAGTATTGTGTTTGTTAGAACTAGTGCTGGTGGTGGATTGGCTGTTGGTACAGCGCTGTTTCTTCGTGATGCAGGTTTGCCATTGCCATCTGAAATTGCTTTAATTGTATAGATCAATATTATATTTTATTTTTATTTAATCTTTTTTTTTTTATCAATCCTCATTAACAATTTTCTCTCCATTTAATGATGAATCGCAAAGTCACCATGGGTGGTTTTTACAAGTAGCATGCCATTATATTGAGAACCTGGAATGGTATGTTACCTGGTAGTTTATGCTTGCCTGCTCTTGTCTACCAGGTCCCATGTCAATTGGATATCTAAAACGCGAAAATTCTATCGTAAAAGATTAAGCAAAAGAAGCCAAAAGTGGTTGGGCACCCATCTTTTACCAAAATCCCAAGGATTAGGCTTCTCTGCGCAAATGAGGCCTTGGCCATTCCTTATATCAGTCCAAAGTTGGCTGAAAGTTTAGGAAATCTACCACCTATTTCTGTGTAGGTTATAGAATCATTTTCTTCTCACCAATCTCATCCATATTAATTCATAAAATTTCAAAAATAATGTATTACGTCTAACACAAGTAATATTATTATAATATAGCAAGCAGGTGGCGAAGAAAGGTTTCGGGATTCAATAGTTCTATTTGGATTTAAGGCTTTCGATCCAAGTGCCCAAATACGCTACGGAGAAATTTGCTAATTCTCCATTCAAAAAAAGCCCACAAAAGTCACACACGAAGTCTATGATGACTGTTTTTTCGTAAGTTTTTCATTATCTCGATCGGTTATATTTGTATAATTTTTCTGATTAGATAATTTTTTATAATTTTATGAATAGTTTGTTCCAACTGAAAAAATTACCCAGTTTTCGCTTAATAGAGCTTATGATTTCATTAAGCTTCATGCAGCTGTCAATGTAAATATTCCTAACGGGTCAGAAAATAATGATACATATGAAAACGGGAAAACCCTTAACGCAGTCGCAATTTACCCTAACTTTGAAGTTAGGGAGTTGGACGGGAAATATTTGGAATGCTTAAAGTTTGAGAACGTTGGAGTTTTGCCGGACGTGAATGAACCTGATTATGTTAATAACGTTTAGCTTTTGAAATAACTGAGAAGATTAAATCGTTTTAAAATTATTATGAAATTAATTTAAATTCCTCCTTGTTAACATTCTGTCATTTAAACTTTTTTCGAAATTTGTACAAACTAGCCAAAACTAATTGAGGTTTATTATATTATTTATTATAATAAAATTAATTTGGTGTTATATATTAAATACGGACATCTATTTATTATTATTTTTTTTTTTTTTGTTTAAATAATAGAATTAAAGATTAATAATTTGAGTTTTTTTTCGTCATTGGAAATTAGGCGCAGTCATTATGATATTTAAGCATCCTATCAGAATTCAGGCCTCGTCTTTGAACCAAATTCCTACCTATGAACGTAGCAATGATGTTTAAAATGATTGTTCTTTGCGTAACAATTCTTTTGCGACATTTATTGGAAAATGATAGATATTGTTCCTATGAAGACTGCATCGTCACCCTAATATTATATTTTTTTTTATGTAAGAAGGTCCAATTAAAAGAGAATGTTAACTAAAGACGTAGTAATATAAAAAATAAATCAACCAAATCTTTTTGAATTGTCATTATTGGCGATGCAGTTTTTAGTCTCTACATTCATTTTGTATTATATTAAATATAGCGAATTTTATTGTAAAGAATTTAAATTTATGAGAAAAAAAAATTCGTATCTATTTTATTTATTTATCATAAATTGGTGTTACCATGTACCAGCTACTAAACAAAAAATAAGGTTTAATGATTACAAACTTTTTTAGTTGCTTGCTTAAACCGGATTACTGACTGGGTCTCACAATTTACCATCAACCGAGTAACTGTCAATTACATACCGAAATATTTGAATGAAATAAAATGTATTTCATGATAAAGAATTTAGCGGAAATAAAGTATGAAAAGTGCGAATATTTCATGTGCCAAGTGATACAATATAACAGTAATATGTATATGAAGCAGCAAAAAAACAAGGTTTCTTACTTGATGTCAGAAATTAAACATAACTTTTGCATGCTATACAATAATGACTTATAAAGAACAAGAAAAAAATATATTTAAAATAAAATGATTATTTTCATCCTTGTCATCAACGTCATAATTTCGTTTCATTTTCCATAAGGAATTGTCCTCGCTTCATAGTCACGAATTTGAACTTTTGAAAGGTGTAAAGGAAGAATCTGCCTCAAGTTATTTTCGAGAATACATTTTTGATTGATGGTAAGTGACGAATTATTGGTTTGTAAATTTTTCACACTAATATCAATTTCATAAATTTCTTTATTCAAGAAATTTATGATTGAATAAGTGGAATTCGGTACAAAGTATCATTTCCGTATTATGAAAAAATTTATATTCGCCCTTATGTCAATTTTTGCGGTGCAGCTCGTTTCTTTCCGACCCTCTGGCTTGTATTCTCAGGGGACATAGAAAACCTGTATAGTATTTTTTTTTTTCACACATAATTAGAATACATACATTAACAAAAGATTATACTATACAGGTTGTGTAATATCCGTTACTTCAAGCTGGTATGATCATAGGATGAAATAATACACCATTATGAATGTGCAAATAAATGTAAAATAATTTTTGTTTTATTGAATAATTTTTTTTTTTTTTTTTTTTTTGTTTATAAAGTCTATTAATGACAATTGATTATTTTAAAGTATATTTGCATATTTTAAATATCAAACTTGATTGTTCGTTTAGGACAATTTAAACTCAAGTTTCTGACTAATTAAGCCTAGCTCATACGGAGGTCTCATAATAGCAAACCAAATCGCGAATATATATCACGGAACTTAATATTCATTGTATAAATCATAATAAGGTAACTTTGAGCAGTTAAAGAATGCCTCGATAATAAATTAGAAAAAATTAAATATTTAATTATAAAATTATAAAATGGAATGGAATGGATTTCGTAGACCGAAATTTTTTTTTTTTTTTTTTTAAAAAAAAAAATGAAGTTTTATAGCCCAGCAGGAGTTTCTTTCCCAATGTTTCTCACGTTGATTTATGTAATTTACTTCGTTACTTATGGAGTTATGGGCTTAAACAATGGAGTTGGTAGGACTCCCCAATGGAATGTATATATATATTTTAAAAATAAAACCAATGAAATGATATTTGTAGACGATTGTTGGGAGGGTGAAAGAGATGACGACGGATATATTCATGCTAGTAAAACAACGTGAGTTCAATTAATTTATATGTATAACAAAAAAAAATATTCAATTCCTTTGATTAAAATATTTTTCTCTGCTTTTTTATAAGGTTTCCGAGTGGAATTAAAGGTACAAGAATATTTCGATCCTCTCGAACTTCATATCAACTTTGATCATTTTTTTAACCGTATCTTTGATTTTATAGCATTATCGGATTATGCACATTTAAAGGGACTTTTATTTGGAATTTATAGTGACGCAGGATATCTTACATGTGCCAAAAGACCCGGAAGTCTCGGTAACTGTATACCTTTTCTTTATGATATTAAATAAGTGAATTGCTCTTTTTGTATTTGTCAAACCTTCATCCTTTATAGGATACGAGGATAAAGATGCGATGACATTTGCGTCATGGGAGATCGATTATTTAAAATATGATAATTGTAACAACGATAGTACACCGGAACAACAACAATATCAGGTAAGAACATATGAATCCTTGGAATAAGTCAATGTATGCTAATTTTCGGTATTTATATTCTTTTCAACTAAGGTTATGCGCGATGCGCTTAACGGTATAATTCTATTTATTGATTTAAAATGTCGACAGCGATAGTGTATGCATATTGATGACGGAAAGCTTTTGTTTTAATTAACTACTGGAAGGTCTATATTTTATAGCATTTGTGAATGGGGGTATGAAATTCTATCATTGTAAAAGCGTTATACATATGATTAGCGCTATCCTGTATTTATTGTAGGAGTAGCCCTCCGCATCTATGGGGGAATTCGGTTGGAAATAGGTAATTAAATTTTTTTTTTGTTTATATACTACTAGCATATATCATTTATTATTTATATTTTATTTAAAAAAATCAAACTCACGATCAGTTGAAGAACAACAGAGGAAATCCAGCCAAGATGGGATCTATCTTAAATATACTCCGAAAACAAGAAAGCATTATAAAATACGCAGGCCCAGTGGTAATTTGACGATTGACGAATAAAAAAGTCATTTTTCTATATGGGCTGCTCTAAAAAGCACCTCTTTTACTTGATTTTGATGTAAGTTTGGTAAACATATTTATATTATTTTTTTTTGAAAAAAAACGATGAAATCATAAAATAATGAAGAAATAAAAAAAGGAATTTTTGTGCTTTATAGATCAGGACTCCACCCGTTGAAACTTTAAAAATTGTAAAAAATACCGAGATTATTGCTATTATTGTAAGCATCAATATAAAATTTAGAGGAATTCTGTGAAAGGGAAATGATTCATTATGGTTTTTTTTCATATAGCAAGATTTATTGTAAATATTATTCAACGTACAAGTTCTTGGGATATTTGGGCTGGGGAATTATCTGATGGTCACGTTGCTCGTGAGCGTTTTTTTCATTTTCTTTTCAAAGTAATATCATTTATTAATTTATTATTATGGTTTGTCTAGTATTATTTAATAGGGGTGAATCACCCACTATCATTGAATTAAATTTTGCTGCACATTAAAACATTAGTGGAGCAGTTGTAGTCCGAGATTTATGGGAAAATGAAGATAAAGGAATTCATACAAATAGGTAATTATAACCCTTATCTGATCCTGTTCAAATAAACCTGACTTAATGATCATAATCAATTTTTTTTAGTTATTCATACCGAGTACCAAAACACGGCATAACTGTATTAAAACTTACCGGTGGAACGAAGATGTTGGAAAGTGATTTTGTGGTTCCATATGGTGATGGTGGTAATGATTTATTCGACGAATATTATGAAAATGCATTTTATAGAAATTATTGATAGTGAGAGTGTTTATATATCAATTTTAAAAAGTTTGATTAATAATTTGAATAAACAAAAGTAAACGTAAACCGTCTATATTAAACTTATTTAAGTTTCCAATTTAATATTATTGATAAATTCAATTAATATTCCGATTTGTATGCATTATTATGATTTTTTGTCAAAACGAGATTGAAATTATCATTTGAAGTTAATGCGTTTGCAAATTTTTGAAAGAGCATTTCTATTTACAAAAAAAAAAAAAAAAAAAAAAAAAAAAATATTTAAAATCTTCCTTTGAACAATTAGGAATTAATTCCTTTTTCCATTTTTCAAAATGTTGGGCGAATTTCCATTTACGAAAAATTTTGAAAAGATCCAATTCTTTGAAAGAAATCCAAATTTTTCTCAATATAATCGTAATTGAAATTTACTTAATAGTATCTTAAGTTAAAATTCGATACCAAATGAGTATATTCAAACCGTTAAATTCTGATTTTTTTTTTTTTTTATTGTATCAATCCAATGAGAAAAATTCAATTTGTAAAGGCTGATTCGCTTTCCTTATCAAATGTCACAAAACTTTTTTGGACAAAAATATGTAGATCGGGGAAAATACGGAATTTGTGCCTTATCGCACTCATATTTATTCATTAATTTATTTTTTTTGGACAATACTATTTTGATTACAGCAATACTTTTGAAAATAAATATTTCAATCATGTCAAAAAATTCTCCGTTATATGTTATGTTATGTCTTTTAATTCAATTATTAGTTAAAATAAATTGCCAAACGGAGTCTTTTAGACCATCACAACGAAAGTCTCATACTGCTACGCTCATCGATAATGTATTGTATATTTTAGGTGGCTTTAATGATGACGTTGACATTGGCAAGGAATTTTTTTACCTTGATGTTTCTATTCCTTTTAATACACAAAATTTATCATGGATCAATTTAACAAATATTAATATTTTTCCATCTCATTATGATGCTGCATCTGTCACGGGTGGTGTTAATAATGATAAATTGTTATTATATGGAGGTTCATCTGATAATATTGATGACTTATTTTGTGTTTATGACACTAAAACTAACTCATGGAGTAACCCGGAAATAACTGGAGACATCGCTACTCATAAATGTTGCTTGACAGGAATCATCGATTTTCGAGAGAAAATTTATCAGTTTGGAGGCGATAGTGTTAGCAATGATATGCTTATTTTAGATACAGTAAATTTGAACCGAGAAACAGGAAGTTCGATTAATGAACCAACTCCAAGAAGTTGGTATGCGGCTGTTTTGTTACCAAATCAACAAATTATTTATTTAGGTGAGAAAATATATAACTTGTACCCATATAATTTTTAACTTTTTTTATATATCATTAATAAAATGTGATTTACGGTGGCTATGATGGTAGTTCATTATCATTAAATGAGGTGAATTAATCTATCTGTTTACGTAAATTTATTAAATTATTATTTAAAGGTTAATCGATTTTAGATCTACATTTATGACACAATTAATGATATTTGGGGTAAAGAGGTAAAGATAATTACCTTTAATGGTTAATTAATTTTTAAATAGTTAATAACTTATTTATAATTTAAATAAATCAGTCAACTTCAGATACAATTCCTTCTCAAACATCTAGAGATTCTTTTTCAGCTGTTCTTGATGAGTATTTTTTCAGTATTTAAAAATATTTTAAAACTGATAGATTATAGTTTTATTAAGGATTGGATGGTCAACGAATTATAATTTTTGAGGGAGACAATGATCTTAAATCTCATGAAGCACTCTGCATATTAGATTTAACAAATTTTGAATGGTATGTTCCAAGTATTTCCGGAACACTTCCATCATCTCGATTTTATCATCAAGTAAATATAATTGGAAATTATATGGTTATATCATTTGGTAAATGCTAACGTTATTGCATTCTTTGACAACTATCTTTCTATCAACATTTCTATGAATTAGTATTTATTAAAACAACTTGTCTTTTTAATTTAGGAAATGGTTATGATCAAAATAAGGACAATGATATTTTATTACTTGACATCAGCAATGACGAAAAATATCTATAAATAAATGATTTTATTCCTTAGAAGTCTATTTTTATATAAGTGGAATAAAATAAAAGAAAGCAAGATAACTCTTAAATATGAAACAAAAATGATCATGAAAATATAACAATATTTACAATTAATCATGAACAAGTCATCTTACAAATACCTGAAAATGAGAATTATAATCATGAATGAGAAGCAACTTCTAACTTTAATGATTACAAAATATTAATATGATTTTAGACAATTTTAAGAATGAAATACTCCAAGCAGTCAGACAAGAAATCACACAAACTTTAAAAAAAGATGTATCACAAAATAGTAAATAAGTTTCCAATTGGAAATTGTTCTTAAATAATTGGATTATTTTTCAAAAATCATCTTTTTGAGTAAATAATCCTGAAAATAGAATTTACAAGTATTGCAATATGAAATTTTTTACGAAACTAATATGAGAAATATTTAAGATGATATAAACAAATGAAAATTACTTTTCATGAATTATTTATTTTTATATTTTACGAACAATTTATTTTATATTTATTTTTAATAAAACTTTCAATAATTGTTTAGAATAAAATGTAAAACATTATACTTTTAGGAAATAGTGTAAAAAATTTATAATTATGTAAGTATTTTCATTTGTTATATTACATATATGATAAGTTTAGTAAATAAAAAAACAAAAATAAAAAAATAAAATAAAAATTAATTTATTTATATTTATTAATTTTAAATAAAAAATTCGCTTCAGACTTAAAATAGTTCTATTTTTTTATATAAATATTAAATTTAATCATTGTATATGTTACTTTTTGTAAATTATATTTTAACATAATACTTGTCCTTATATGTATCACAAACTTTTATTTGAAATGTATATGTGATAATATTATTAGTCATAACCAGTTCAAACTTTTCTATAAGAATTAATTTTTTTAATTGTCCAGAGCGAAGCGTAGGAATCTTTTAGGAATTAGAGTGAAAAATTGTACTGTTATGTGAGGATTCTGTCTGTCCTGCTGCATTACTTAAGATCAAATCAAAATAATCAACAAAAAACCAAGTAGGGTAACTTGTGTAATTTGTGACACCTGAACAAGATTAGTACGAAAGAAAAAAAACAATACTTTTTACTCGTTATATTTTGTTGAATTTTATTTTTACCGTTATCTGTTAAATTTTTTATTGAATCTTTTTAGATATTATTACTAGGTAACCGAAGCCGTTAAGAGTCCAGAGCAAAAATTCACTTTACAAAATCTTTATTTTTGTTTTTTTTTATTATTATTTTTGTTATATTTTTAATATATTGTATCTTTGTGATATTTTTAATGTAATATTTTATTGTTTAAAAAAATAAAAACGCAGTTTTAAAAATTTGGAAAACTTTGGAAATTATGAAGTTTTATTGTTGAAATAAGTTATTATGTGCTTCTTATAACTTATATCAATTTTTAGGTATCATTGAAACTAGTCGCTCTTCTTCGATTTTCCTTTCTTGCAACCTTCTACAGTCTTAATGTGCTGGAGTCTTTCAAAATTGAAAGGTTGAAAGAGAATATCTCCTATGGTGCAGACCTAAGACATCACCACAAATGAAAGGTCAGCCACAAACTCCTTATCACTAAGATTTATTACAGTTTTTTATAGTGTAAGTCCCTGATTTTTATATACAGTAATGGCCAATGCAAGATGAATAGGAACTTGAAAATGTGAATATTATATTCTAGATTTACTTTCCTAGGCACATCGAATGGGTGCAATTGGGACAACTTTTGTACCTTCTAAGGTAGCAATAGTGGACCTTTATAATTTTCAAATGAAATGAGAACTGCTATAGAAAGAAAAGGTAGTCCTTGATCCTCTCTGAACAAAATATCCTAGACGATTCCCAGTGTACCATTGACTAGGCCAGCTTTTATCCACAAATTTGATATCAATATAATATATGCGCCTCTTACTAGCAGCAATTGTATTTCAAGACTATGTGTAACATCAGAATCTGCTTTTTTAGCTTCATTGTCACCTGTGTGTATAGCAAGAATTCTAGCAACAAGAATGTTTAAAGACCTAAGTCAGTCTATATTCATTGCATCAACGTCGACCTATTTCGTTAGGATGAACGTAGCATCAGAAAATTTACTATTCTGTTTTATTTAATCTTCCTTCGAATCATGTGATAAGAGTTCTCCAGTCAGCTAAAATAGACTCTCTATTGCACAATCTTAAGAGGAGAGATCTAAAGTCCTATTGCTCTTGAGAATTTCTGGATTGGCGTTGAACAATATCAAGCTAATACAATTCCTTAAATAGGATATATGCAGCAAGAACATTATTAAAAAGTGGATTTCATAAAACTTTTATATACATCGGGCGATCAAGTACAGGAAAGTACTTCATTATCAATGATAATATCACTATAATAATGATTATTTCTTTTGACTAGCATAAAACACGAGCAACCTTAGTACGACGAACTTTAAAGTCCTTAAATGCTGCAGCATTATTTTCAGACTAGTGACATACAAGAAGAATATCCAATAATGATGGATATCAAGGAAGATAAGTGGCAAATCCTTATACGTCTTGGGAAAAGTTAATTATGTTCCCACAATATATGTGTTGTCTTTCACAGAGTCTATAGACTGACATAACTAAGAAAACTCGTGCAATCAACATTTCTTTGATCTCTGTGAAACCTTGAAGTTCTTCTGGCACTTTACCTGAATCCATATCATTCTCTGCTGAGAACTTTTTTGGAGATTTATTTTTAGCATAACAACGTTGACATTTTTCCATTATAAGTATTATAGATAAGAAGCTTTCGTTGCATATAGGATAAAGAGTATATTTGATCTCATTAACTTTAGTGCAAAATTCTGAAAAAAATCTCTTTCAGATTTACTAAGCTCAGATGGGTTTTCATCACTCTGACCTTA